CGCCAGATCCCCCCCGCCTCCCCGGCTCCCCCTGACCCTCTCGGCCTTCAGACTCACCTCCTCACGCATCTTCTTCACCGACTCCCCTTTCTGCGCAGGGGGGAAAAAGAGAAGGGAGAGGCATTAGCGGGGCTGGCAGCGATGGGGGGGACAGGGAGGCAGGGTGAGGGGGTTTGTTGCTCACTTACCTTCCCAATGATGCTTCCCACCTCCTGGGACGGAAACAAAAGCGACAATTAGTCAGTGCTTAAAAAAAAAAACCCCACAACTCTGGGTGTCCCAAGCTTAAACAACTCTCCCTTACAGCCAAACCCAAGTTCCTTGGCACCCCTCAGACGTGCTGACACCATGCTCCCCTCAGGTCACTCCCCCCCCGCCCCCAAGCTGTTATTTTTATTGATGCGTTACGCTTTTAAAGCGCTGCCTCGTTCGTCATAAGATATCCAGGAGCCGGCCGGGTGCCAAGGAGCACATTCCTAACGCCACTGCCTAATGGCTGCAATAACGAGGCAGCTCTGAGAGGTCTGACCAACATCGATTTACTGCCCGGCGTCCAGGAAAGGCCACCCCTGCGTCGGGCAAAGGGGTTTCGGTACGTCCCCGCCGTCCCACGGACACGTACCTTTCCGTGCATGAGTAGTCGGATGGTGAGCGTGACATTTAAACCACCTTCAATGACACCGGTGTCCATCTTGAGCTGCGTTGGGTTGAGTCAGGCTGCGTCAGTGGTCAGATCTTTGGTCGCTGGGCAAGCGGAGCTACAAACAAGATGGGGGTTGTATTTGAGGGACTGCGCCAACCCTCCCCGGCCGGTTTCGGACCCATCCCAGGGAGATTCAAGCCCCCTCTGTGCTTTCTTCTCCCCTTGAATATCCCCCCGGCAGTTTTAGGGTCACGCTCCTCTCCGAGCGGCGATCGGGAGAGCCGAACCATGGCGGTTTGGCTGCCCAACAGGCTGCTCCTCCTCCTGCCAGGCATTTTCCAGGGCAGACGGGCTGAACTGGCACGATCCCACCTGCATCAAACAACAGCCGGGACCACGAGGGTCTCGCTCGTCCCCTGCCTCCTTCCAGCCCCGCTCCTCGCTCAAACTTCGCCTACAGCTCCGGGAAACTTGTCTCTACTTGCGAGCCCCACACCTTCATCTAGATTACAAGCTTTCTTCCACGGCTACGTGTAGACACACACATGCCAGACAGAGCAACCGCCCCGTCTCCCTTTGGTTTAACCCACTTGGGAGGCAGGCTGTTAAGAAAATAAAATATAACAACTTATCTGTGCCCTGAGCCTGCGTGCGGAGGCCTTTCAGACCGGTTTCCATGTTGATTTACTCAAACCAGATAAGGCCACGCGAGCGCACGATCAGGTTTCAAACAACCTGCGGCCCAAGTCGACAGCAGTTGCAAAACACCGCGACTGGCCACCAGCTCAGCCAGTCAAACCATTTCACTTTAAAAGAAAAAAAATAATTAAATTAAATCCACTAAATTTTAGCTCTTGTTTTTAGCAGTCTGGCTGGTCACTGCCCCAGCAAAGTTTAACCAAACCCAGGGAAAGATGAAGCAGAGAGGAGGGGGATTAATCTGGCAGGGGACCGTGCCAAGCGGGCAGCGCTGCCGTGCTCCCGGTTAATGCTCTTTTAAGGGGAATTGTGACGGAAGGGGGGTGGTTTTGTTTTTTTTTTTTTTTTCTGTGCCGTAGCGAGGAGTTACGGCCTCCATAAAACTCAGTCTGACATCCCGTCGGATCCAAAAAGGCGCCCGTTTGCCTAGTTTGGAAAGAAGGGCCCAGGATCCGAGCCTGGCAGCAGCGGAGCACGGAGGAGAGTCTAGACCCGAGCCCACGAGTTGGTTGTTTACGAGTTTCCCGGTTCACCGGAGGTGGCAGGAGCCTCGCTGGCACCCGCCGCCGCCGTCTCTCCGGCTCTGAACCCACTCCTCCTCCCACCAGTTCAGCGTCCCAGTTCGCCTTCGTTAGCATTAATTTGCTTTCCTGGCAGCGGTTTTGCCTGTCGAACGAGCTTGGGTCGGTTACAGGGCCGCCTGGAAGCCCGTCAGGGACAAAAGCCGACCAACCCTGCCGGGGGGTTACGCAAAGGGAGAAGCGAAGCCGTGCGGGGCAGGCCAAGGCCATCGCTCTGATCCGGGCTCACAGAGAGCTTCTTCCGCAAGAAAACTTCCCCCAAAACTTTTCCTTACCTCCGTCCGGCTGCCCTACCTGCCCCCACAGTGCACG